AAATACCTCTGGTGACAGCTGCCACACCACTCTTCTGTGTTCTCTTCCTGTCGCTCACGCTGTCACCTGCTGCCAGAGTCCTGCAAGACTAGCGGTGTTTTTCCTGGGGAATGAGTAAATTCATGATGAGGTTTTCAGTCCTCTGATGTGGCAGGAAAGGTCACGTTCCATTTGTCTGCCTGTGCTGCTTGCTCCATCTGTGATTTCCTCCAGGCTATGAGCTCTAACAGCCCTACTGTGCTCACCATGGGGCATCACCAGCCAGGCCCCACGTTCCCTTCTGGTTCCCTGCAGACTTTTAGGGCTTTTTTAGAGGCCTGGAGAGACCACTGTGCTCCCTCTAACACTATCAAAGCATCTAAGGCAGGGAATTCCCTTCTCTCCTTCTCTCGCAGCCCCTTGGCGCAACAGGGTCTGCACGAGGCAGTCCCCAGGGGGAGGTGACAAGCATGCTGAGCTACTGAGCAGGGCCAGTGCCAGCCCAGGCAGCTCTGGAGCATGGAGAGCTTGGGGATTGATGGCGTTGTTGCCTTTGCCTACTGTTCCTTGGTTGCCAACCAGCAGAACGGATGTCCTGCTTTGCATAATGCTTGTACTGCAAATATTATTAACCTCATATATCACTGGGGAGTGCACACAGCTCCCGTTTGCAGGGAGCACCAGGGCCAGCCCTATTCAATCTACTTCTATAAACAGAAACAAGGACCATTTAATAAGCAGGAGGCAGCTGGTGTCTTTAGAGGTTAAGGCTTTGTGTTGATTTTTTTTCCCCCTATACAAAAGATAAATATGCCCAGGAATTTTTTTCACTATGGGTTTTCATCTTTTCAACCTCTCATAAACTAAGCGGGGTCAAGCACTGGTCAGTTCTTCAGCAAGAGATCTCAAGGGAATAAAAAATCCACAGTACATTAGGAAAAGAAATACTTGTGACTCGTGACTTGGCTTTTTAGTGAGTAATGCTACGCTCTTTGAGCCGCCAGCGAACGCCCATTGCAGGCAGGGCTGGGAAGGCAATCACAGCTGCAAAAGGCTCATTCTTCCTGTGGATGTGAAGCCAGGGTGAGCTGGCATCTTCAGGGAACCAAATGGAGTTAGGAACTAGAACTGTATCAGAGTCAAGCATCCTTTGAGGTCCTGTAAGAAAACGCCAGCCTTGATAAGAAAATCTGCTTTCTTTCTCCAACAGGTATTAGCCAAGGGGTAGCTGTGTAATGCCTCAAGTGAAAGGCATTCTAGTCTGCTTCCTTCCCTAAATTCATGCAGCAACTTTGTTCGAATCCAGTATGTTTGCTCCCCCTACTGAACTGTGCCACATGCTCAGTGTATGTCTTCCAACAGTTCCCCAACTACCTTTCCTATGCTGGCTGAATTTCCCTAGTGAGTAAAATGATTCCTATGTTCAGTAGCCTGTAAAGCACTTGGAAATCTTTCAGATGAAAGGCCCTCATCGAAAAGTGTATAATAAGATTTCATTATTGTATCATTTATTCTCATTATCGCTAATAGCTGTGGTTGTATAAAATGTTCTTCCTGTGATAAGAACGGACTATCTAGCAAACACCCCAGCCCACAGCAGCTAAGGACAAAGAAGGCATCAGGGAATAGGTGTCCAGAGTTCACTCAGCTGTTTGCAGCTCCCCATACATCCTCTCCGTTGCTTTGAAGATTTTAATTAAAACCTACAGAATGGTGTTTCAGGACCTGGAAGAGATCCAGAGGTATAAAGGACAACAGGCAAACTGTGAGCCTCCATTCATCACAGATATAAGACTTTTCAGAACTGAAGTGCACGAGGTGCTCACTCAGGAAGCTGGGGCCTGGGCAGAGTGGAGGTGTGGGACACACAGCACACTCAGCAAGGAAAAGGGGAAGCCTTGCATGAGGCAGGCTCTGTTCTCAGGGCACCGACTGCCAATGGGATCTGCAATGAGCAAACAGGTTACCTATAGGTGGGCTGGGGATGGGGACAGTGCTTCAGTGAGAATTTGGGGGTGTATGAAAAATAAGATTGTGGATTTAGCAGCTGAAATAGACCAGAAAGAAAAGAGGAGTAAAAGAGAATTAAAAGCACTGCTAATACAGGAAGCAGTGTCTGAAGCTGTAGATCTCATTGCCCTAAACAAATATATGAAGGGTAGGATTTATAAGCAAGAGATACAAGGAACAGCTGGCTGAATGGTGTTTGAATGGGTAAAGGAAAGTATTTACAATGTTGGCCAAGCAACTTGACAGGCATGAGGAGCTGTGTCATCATTCAGGCAAGAAATAAAAGAGGTGACAGCTGTAAGATATCTCTCCACTTAGAGAGACTGAGAATGAGGGATTTCTGCACCATTCTTGCCCTTCCTCTGTGTGCCCCAGATGTTGTAACTTCAGTGACTTGTATTTCTGTTCAGATACTCATAGCCTTACACACGTCAAACAGGGCAGTGACAAAGCAGAGAGCTTCATCCAGGGCCTGGAGAAGGCGGGCGGGCAGGATTGCATCTCAGACCTCTGTCGTTCCAGAGTGGTGAAGACCAGGAAGAAAGCAGTTCGGGCTGGATTTCATGCTGGAGCCTGGGGACCCTTCAGGCAGTTGCAATGATTTGAGACAGCCCAGTACAACAGAGAAGCCAGTTTTCAGACTGAAGAGGAAGGAGGAGACAGTTAAGATTCGACAACATATCCAGGGGAAAAATAAACAGATCAGAGTGGCTCTGCAACACACCATATTTAGTGAGATCAACAGGAAAAATAATATCCAGTTTCTCTAGTTGCTGCAAATTAAATGATTGCAAAGAGCATAAGTTGTATTTTCATTCCAGATCATGGCATCTCCAAATGAATGGTGGAACCATCAAGCTTAAGCTTGGGTGATACAGGAATTTCTTGTCAATTCTCCCTCTCCAGAATGATTCAAAAAAGACCCACTGCTTTTTTTCAGTGCTCCAGCTCCAACATCCAGATGAAAGGCACCATTAACAGGACATCTCCAATTAGTCAGAAGAGATCTGGCCTTCAGGGACTTGGATAAAGAGCAGCACGCTTTGCTCAGCTCTGAGCTGGCAGGTGTCTGCTTTCTAGGGTGACAGATCCAAGTACCTCAACGGGAATTTTAGATAACACTCTCAAGATGTTGCCAGAGCTGCTCATCAGAACTGCTCTGATTGACTAGCATTACTGAACAGCAGCTATTTTGTCCCTTTGATCACGGCTGGTCCTCAAGTCATGGACGAATTAAATATTGAATAGCCTGTGTGACAGCTCAGGACAGCTGTTGTGTCAGAACAGTCCTGAAGGCCTCTGTGCAGTCAGCAGGCACAGGGTCACAGCAATGGGGAGAGCCAGCAGCATCCTTGGCTGGTCTCCAGAGAAGAGCTGAAGCCACAGGCTCTGCAGTTGGAGGAAGACTGACCTTGCAGTCCAAAGGGTGGATCTGAGCAGAATTAGAGGATTTTAAACCCAGGATCTGTGCTTTTCCAGAGTGCAGAATATTATTCTCTGGACACCACGCTGCCAAAGGGGATTCTTGCAAGTCTGACCAAGTATTTTTTCCACTGTATATGCCTTCTGGGCCATGTGAATACAGGTCCATCAGAAAACTCAGAAGCTGTAAGGCACAGAAGAGCTAACAGTGACTAATTCCCTACTCATATGTGAAGAAATGCTGCATTGCACAAGCAAAAAAAAACACTCTCTGCTTTGTGCATGCAAGGAATTGTCTTATATTGCTAACTCTGCACCATATGCACACTGTAGGCTGGAAATGCCTGGTATTGAACTTTAGACATTGAGTCTTGGGGTGCCGTAACTAGAGAAGCCCTAGGAAAGTACTGGCACAGGTGAAGCTAGGGAGGGTTTGTGAATCTGAAGGCACCCTGAAACCCCTCTGGTAGCTGCTATTGACAGCTCTGTGATTCTGAGTATGGTTTTCTGGCTAACCCTCAAAAATCGAACAAATGACAGTGACTTTGGTTACAGCACAGCAGCACTTTAATTGCAACAAGGGCCCCTGCTAATTTAGCAGAAACCCTTTTAGCTCAGATAACTGCTCCACTAATGAAATCAGAGCCATCACCACTTCTGGCTCCCCATGGTAAAACCTCTGTCCTTTCCAGGGAGTGAATCTCACCATAGCTTCAGACAGAAGTTTTAATGGGCTTTAGCAGCCTTTGAGAGAAAGTGCTTGAAGGACAAAATAAATCATCTCTCTTACCGTGCTGTCATAAAATCCCCCTTCCCCTTAATATTCTTTTTGCATCGCCTTCCAGTTCTGCCACCATCACCTCTTCAAAGCTTAGACTTAACTTGAAAGAGCAGATCTACCCAAGTGGAACAATAAAGACCCCCAGAGTTTCCATACCTCATATGTAAGATTTAGGAAAGCTGAACAGCCCCACAAATCTAAGGACAAACTCATCGTAGGTCCTAACACAGTGGGGAAACTGCTGTAACAGCTCTTCACAGGGCACACTTAGCAAAACCTGCTCCCTTTCCTCATCTTAAAGCTTTCTGCTGCTTGGGGGGACACTCTGTGGCTTATTTTGAGTTGGCTTTAAGTTGCAGTCTTTTATGATTGGAGGATCTCCATCCTGTGCAGTCAGCACAGACAGCTGTTGAACAGCACTCTGCAGATGTACTGCCCAGAATAAATCTGTGGAAGGAACTAGCTGGGTTGTTCCTGCACCTCAAGTACTGCAAGGCAGAGGAAAATGTGCAGATATTCCCAGCACTCCATGCCAGACTGTAGAAAAAACAAGAAGAAGGCAGCAAAGCCACCTCTGCATCCCAGCTTTTCTTCCAGTAACAACAACAGAGCTAAACTGGATCCCAAATGTTGACTCGTATTTCCAAACACTTTCTAACCATTGCAGAGAACAAGGGCTTAAGGGCTTGTCTGTATTTATGCTTTTGCTTGTCTTTAATACAGGCTGTATTTATAATGCATGATTAATTATTTTGCACAAGCCTCCCTTTTATGGGAACGTGTGAAATTTAAGCAATTTTTAATACCACCTCGCAGACATCACTCCTTCTTCCCACCCCCATTACCATTAATCCATGTTGTAGAAAGATGTAACATTTGTCACTGGTTTATTATGAAGTGCAATGTTGCGAGTTATTTATGAGCTTGCTATTTATCGAAATATTTGCGGGTAGTTTTAGCACTCCAACTCTAGGGTGAAAATGAGCCAGGCTTTACCCACTGCCTGGCACAACCCACTCCTGTTTAACCACTTCACTGCCACTCTCTGGCTGTGCCAGCAGAGCAGATCTTCCAGGGCTGTGTTTTAGGGCAGCCTCTCAGCCTTGTGACTTCCAAGTAAGTTCAATTACCTTTTGTTCTCAATAGGTGGAAACGGATGCTGAGGAATGCTCCAGAGGCCATGGGCAGAAACAGGCCAGGAATGGAGATGTTTCTGAACTACATATGACTGCTGGAAAGAAGGCAGCCTGGGGATCTCACAGCACAGAGCAACTGGCCAGACCACAGACCAAGGCAGTCCACTATTCAGTGCCTGGTAACAGATACCCAAGAAAGAGCATTAGAACACAACAAACACGTAGCAGCCTTTCTCCAGAGTATTCCCCCCAGCTCCCAGCAATCTGCCATACAGGAACTTTCCAGGAGAGAGCTTTGCATCTGTCTTTAATAGCCCTCAAGGGATTTTTCAGCCTGGAGTATGCCCAATCCCTCCTCAAATCTACGAAGGCATTTTTGCACCACGATGCCCTGACGGCAAGGAGTACCAGAGCTTAAATTCCATGTTGCATAAACATTTCTTTTTGCTTGGTTTGACTCCACTCTTACACACAGTGCCTCCCCGTGTATCTGAAGCTGCCACTGTAACCTAATTCCAGCAGGACAATTCCCACCTCCACTCAAGACTAATGCTGGTGGATCTGTAAAGCAGATGGAGAGAAATGCAGGTAATGATGTGATGATTGGGTGATAGGAGTAATGAAGAGCAGTCAGAGAAGAGCATCTGTGGGGCCCCGTGGTTCCTGCCACTAAAGAGCAGCAGTCTCCCAGGCGGTGCCCTGCTTTTACTTGGGTCTGCCTGGTGCTAATTACAAGTGTCAGCACCAGGGCTGCGCTGTGTTAGTCTCTTTGCCAGGAGCAGTGCAATGGGGGGAAACAAATTTAAGGTGTAAACCTGAAATAAAACTGTTCTACAGCAGCTTAGCCCCATGTCTGAAAGTATGCCCTGAATTTAACCGGCTGTGAATGCAACGCAATTGTTGGCGGCTCCCTTGGCTAGTGGAGCTGGACTCTGTTTTCAGCTATTGCTTTTTAAACATTCAGAGCAGCTTTACTTGCTACAAGTGAGCATGCTCACATGACCATGAGCTTAACTTCTGTTGCCCTTCTCAGCTTCTCTCTTCCAGCACAAAAAATGAGAAGTGCAAGACCTGGAGTGCTTACCTGCCCCAGCCAGTCCCATAAGAGTAGATGTGAACAAGAAGAACCAAAAATGTACTTCTGAGACCTTGTTTCTGCTCTGAACGTGCCCTGCTGTCTTTCAGTCATACATCTGACCTTAGCATTCAGGGCTTAACACTTTAGGAAACTGGCCATACAGGAAATCCAAGAGCAATGCTGGGTATTGTTTCTTTTCAACAGCCCCAATCATAAAGCACTGCAGCTGTGTAGCAGGGAGCTGCTGCAGCCAGAGCAGCAAGTCCTTGGAGGTCAGTCCCTGCTTCTTTTTCCTCAGCATTATATATTCTTTCAATAAGAGACAAAAGAGAACAACAGCAGCCAATGCACAGCACTACAGCTGTTGGTGAAGGAATACAAATGAATCTCCTTCATTTGAAGTTGCAGGAAGAAAATAAAAACATATAAATGTTTGATTGTTGGGCTGAGATGGAAAATGAACCAGGTGGTTTCCTTGCACCATCCAACCCAGCTCAGCACCTCCAGAGATGCCCCTCGTCCACAGCAAGCAGGGAAAGCTGACGTTAATCCATGATAAATGGAAGAAACTCATCAAAGCCCACAGTGCCAACCAAATGTGCTGAGCAGAGGCCCCATGCTGAGGGCTGAACGCTCTAAAGACAGCTGTTAGCTTACAGACACTGCTCAGAGGCACGCAGTGAGCTCAGGTCACCAGTCACACCACTGCCAGGCACAGCTCAGCAGAAAACTCTGACAGAAAGCAGAACACTGCTTGTACTGAGCTCAGGGAGGAGGCTTCTGCTTTTATGTTTGCTTTTTAGCAACTGCAGCTACCGAAGTTGTCACTTTTCAACACCTGAAACGTCTCAATGAAAACACTTAGTGCTTTGAGCTGAGATCATTTGTTGCAATGAAAGCCTGCATTTTATTGAAAAGAGCAGACACTTTACAGGCAGTTTTATTTCACTTGGACACTTAAAGCTCCCTGGCACTGGGTGGATACAGATCCTGTCCAGGTATGAATTAGAAGGCCAGGAAGTCTATTCAAAAGGTTTAGAAGCCATCAGCAGGTGGATTGGAGTGCATTTCCTCTTGTTCAATGCATTTTTATTCTAATCCTGCTGTGTCTGTGAGTTTTTTTGTTGTGTTAGCTATAGTCAGATTTCCCCACACCTATTTCAGCAGGAAACACTATTTCATCAAAATAAGCCAACTTGATTTTGATTAAATTTCCATGTTTTAAGAGAAGTCTACTGATGGAAAGCATTTTGTAAAAATCAAAACAAATCTGGGAACTTTGAGACTTGGCTTTTTTTATTATGAATAATTTGGGGGGGTGGGGAACCACACTCCTACTGCATTTTGAGAGCAAAGCACAGTCACCTGTAATTTCTGAACATGAAATGCTCTGAAATGCTGTGGCAGGGCATTTTGATACAGCCCAGTGATTGCTCCTAAAGGAAAGTGAGAGAGAAAACCACTCCAAGCCTCTAATTAGCTTTTAGCAGACCTGTTCCCACTTGATCCAGGCAGCTCCTGGACTCCCTTCAAGAGGTCAGACGAGATGAAATGTTCACTCACCAGCATATTTATATGCGCTAGGTTTGATTCTGTGGATGTGAAGTCAGAGTGAATTCCAAGTCACCGGAGCTCACGCACAAATACCAAGACATGAATGAAGAAAGAAGACATTTGATTCAGATTCCAACAGCAAAACCTCCAGCAAGGGTCAAGCAAAGCAAGCTTTCTACAGCGAGTGCCACCAGCTTCTGTGCATTACCAGGTGGGTGTCAGTCCCACCTCCACTGCTCCATCCCAGCCCCTTTTCCTTCACACTGTGCCTCCATTCCCCTCTCTACAGATCGCAGCTCACTGCCCTAAGAGCTGAGCACTGCCATAGCTCCGTGGTGCAGCTGTGCCAAACCATAAGCTCCAGGGGCTCCTTCCCCATCTCTCCGAAGCAGAGAGGTATGACAGGACGCCAGGCAGGTTGCCACACTTCAGAGCTTCTGAAAGATTTTCTTGCCAGCTGAGGACAGCCTGTTGTCAGGGGCTGGTCGGGCTGGGTGATGGGGTGAACAGCTTTGCGAAGAACAAACAGGATAATAAACCCATCTTAATGCCTACAGAGGAACACAATCTGACCTTATCTATATGCAAATTGTGGTGCCTTCTTCTTCCTCTGTGAGGGCGGCTGAGTTGGCTATAATGTGCCTGATAAGAGCAATACATTTGCATCCCACCGGATGCTATTAGGGGCTTCTCCCTGCTTTGTTCAGTAACTTAGGTTTTATTTAAGTCAAATAAAATAAAGTCAGAGAAAAAAACAACAGTCTCTTCTGATCAGAAAGCAGCTCTGTTTTGCTGACACCTTTTACAGAACCACCAGAAGCTTAGTAAACTTTCAGACACCAGCTCCCATGGCCTTTGTCAGCAGCATTTGACTCCTTGTTCTTTGCCATCAGGCTGTATTTGAATGGGAAGCAGCAGCTGGTGCTGAAGAATCCATCTGTTCCAGCCACTCCCTCCTCACCTGAACTCAGGCAGACCTGCTTACGGTGTTTTGGGTGCCTGTGAGTTGAAAACAGCTGAGAAATTTGAGACTGGAGAGAAAAAATAAAGGAAAAGTGAAAAACTGCTTTCTTCCATCATGCAGCCAGCTCAGAACAGCTCCCTGCAGAAGGCTTCAAGAATCTGAGAGCAGTGTGCCACGCTACTTTTCTTTCTAAAATCAGTGGTGAAACACGGCCAGATCTGCCCACAACTTCTGTGTTCTCCAGGGCCGTGCAGAGATTGCTACATTCACGCAGATGTATATATGCTTACCAACCCACAGAAAAACTCCACAAATCTGCACAGCTCCCTGTCCATCACCCATTTCCTAATCTCTGTGAAGTTACCCAAGGTCCTAGTGAGCACCCATTGCCCTGTCCCAAATGCCATCAAGGTGTAATGATGCTTGCTCCTATCTCAAGCAGTCAGCAGTTACATGAAGTTTGGAAGACCAAATCCATCGCATCCTGCTCCTACAGCATCTGATTTTCACCTTAGACATTGGCTCACAGCTCTCAGGGGAAGAAACTGAAGAGTAAGTGCATTTTTTGGGTGAAAAATGAACACGGCATTTGTATGCAAATAGCCTTAAACTTTGGGTAGGGGCGAGAGGGAAAAAGAGGGAAGAAATCCATTTAAAAATCTTTCTGCTTCTGTTCTTTTTTCCTATTTATGTTTTCACTGTGGCTTTAGTGGCTCTTTAAAGATGTACTACAAAGCTTTTAATAAAAGCCAGAATGAAAGGCAGAATCCTCTTTAAGATCCTAAATCAGTCTTGCAATACGTGTCTAGACTCACAGGTTGCTAATACATTAACTTTTAGAAGTGAGATATTGTAACACCCAGTAATCCCTTCAGCTGCTGCTGAATTCCCCGCCAAGGAGGCTGCGTGCTCCTGTTTGGATGGGAAGCAGCCACATTAACAATGACCCCTTTCAGAACCATCTAACAGGCAAGTTGATCTCTCAAAGTACATTTCATCTCTGCCTCTCATTCATTTAGCCATCCTTTCCACCACTCTGTGAGCACTGAGGGTATGACTGCTTTGCATCAAGCAACCACTGCACTCAACTGTACGAAATACACAGGAGTTTGGTCCTGAAGTTGGAAGCAATGTGCTGGATTTGGCATTGATCCCACCACAGCTTGGGTTACACAGCAGCAGCCATTCCATCTGCATTGAGCAGTAGTGACTTCCTCTGGTCACAGCTACTCAGCTTCTCTTCCTGTGGAATTCAATTTTCAGTGCTGCTGGCCTCAAAAACATGAGTCCAAACAAGCTTTTATTGGCCATGGCAAGCATATTCTGCTGTAATTGTCACTTAGGAGACATACGATAGTTTCTAGGCCTAAATGTCATACCTATAAATTGTCTGCTGAGCAAAAGGAACAGGCAATGTCTCAACAAAATATGAATTTTATTCTTAAAAAGATCCAAAATTTCTCAGTCACAAGCAGCGGCCGGGCTGCACCTGTTTCACCTGTTTGCAGTGGAGATGCTGACCTGCCAATTGTTTGTCTGGAGAATGCCAAAGGCAAAAACAACAGGTCACTGAAAAATCACCTGGTTTCTCTGAACTACAGAAAGAAATTGGTTTTGAGCTCTCATCTCCTGAGACCCAGCTCCATGCTGCCTCCTTACCTCCTGCACGACCACAGGCAGCTCACTTCAGCTCACCCAACTCCTGTCACCAGCTGTGAAGTGAGGACAAGAAGAGCTTTGTTCATCCAGGCTTTTGTTTGACTTCTGCATGCAAACTGCAGACCCCGCAGGGCACGCACTCTCTCTCTTCCCATGTGTGTAGAACAGCCATTTTTTTAAATAAGCAGCAAATGTTCCACAGAAGTCTGGAAGCCCCGAAGATGTAGGAGAGGTGTCTGGAAACACAAGAGAGCAGTACATTGCTCCCCTGTGCTGCCTGCAGCCTTCGGATGCAGATTCAGCTTCCACGCAGCTCAATGCTGGGAGCAGCTGCCCCAGCAGCCACAAACCTCGGGAGCCCTGAGCAGACTGTGGTTAAATTTAGATTCTCTCTTCCCTGCTTCAGCTGGGCATTTCACAGACTGATTTCATTCCTCCCGTGCACTCAGTGCACTCAGAGGGATCCCTCATTCCTCCAGTCAGTTATTACCCTCCTGCAGGGAGAAGGGCCCTGTTTGTGCTGGGAACCAGACAAGTTGCTCAGAGCAGAACGGTGAAAGCCGAGTCCCTTCATCAAAGCATCAAAGCTGGAACTCCTCTGCATGACACAGACTACCAGGAGCTGCATGCAGCACTCACTCCTGCTGCCAACCCTGTGACGAGCCCTGCAGGGTGAGAGATGGGCCCAAAAGAGCTGCAGTCCCAATCCAGCAAGGGGAGAACTTCCCAAGAGGAAAACCCAGCAGCCTGCCCTCCCCAGGGCCACACCAGCCCTTCATAACCCCCACACAGCCCCATCCGCTCCTCGAGCTCTGCCTGCAGCATTGCTTTCTGGAGGGCTCAGAATTATCAAACCAAAGCCTTCTTCCTCGCCAGATCAAGAAAAGCTCAATGAAACCGAAACATCTTTGCCCTGGGGCCACTTGATGCTTGCTTTAACTGTGCTACTCCATTAAGGATGATATGATTTAAGTCTGACTGTCTGATTTGCATCAAGATTAATAGCAGCTGGTTAGTCATATTCCTTGGATATTAGCAGCAGAGCTTTTCTTCTGTGATTTCTCATTGTTCCTCACATGACAAACGACTCCAGTCTCAGCAAACAGAGAAGTTTGGCTATTACCAGCAATTAAATGGTCAAAAATAAAGAAGAGAACCCCATATCACTGCTAAGCAGCCGGACACCAATTAGATGCATTGCGTTTCAGGATCACCATGCACATCACTTTACCCAGGTTTCAACCTACGCTGTGAAGCAACATTTCAAAGACAATTAAAACATCATAAGCAATCATGTGTGAATAGTTCTGAACACAGCTACTAAATAAGAAACAATGACAGATTAGCAAAGGGAGAAATCATAGAGTTTAATCTAACCCTTAATGGGTGTTTATTATGTAAATGATTATCCCAATTTAGAACTAGCCACTTGTTACGGACTGGAACTATATCACAGCTTTTTTCCATGCTGAATTCAAAGCTCAGTGGAGATGGTGTTCAACAAGTTTATGGGCAGTGAATATAGAACCGAGACTGACCATTGCATGCCACGTGGACAGAAAGCCACTGGTATATGCCAACAACTGGTTAGCACCAGAGCCCAGAAGTGGAAGAGTTTCACCTGGCCTCACACCTGCTGCAGATCTGACAGAAGTATTTAGAAAAGCATTGCCTTGAGGGAGAAGAGTGGCTGTCTCTGAGAAGACCAAAGGAGCCCAGGTCTTGTGGGATGTTGGCAATGGGCTCAACCTGCACAGATGAGAAGGCAGAGCTGGAGAGGAACTACTGGCATCACATTCACTGCAAGGAACAGAGAAAAACATTAACCAGGACGGTCAGGGTGCTGTCAGCACGAGCTGGTTTTGCTGCTCCTTGCAGAGTTTAAGGCTGGGCATCTTCAGCCAAGGCCGCAGTTGCCAGGTGATGCTGCACATCCCTTTGGCCAGCTCAGCATCCCCCAGCCAGGCACTGCACTAAGGCAGCTGCACCCGGCTGGAAGCTGCAAGGCCAGGAAGCCAGCTAACACCTCTGACCACAGTCTTACAGCCACAGGACAAAAAGGGCAGTCTTCTCTGCACTCACACCTACAGCCCAAGGCCCTACTAAAGGATGGAGTTCATTAGCTTCAAATTAGCTGCAGTGAATCCAGAAGCAGAGGAGCACAGCAATGGCTCCAGCAGGTCTGGCCAGCTTTGGATCCCGCTCTCTAATTGTGGCCATGTGTATAAGCCTAGGAGAGGATATATGGCAGTGCTTAACTTTATATTAGAACGGGTAAGGGCTGAATAGCAAAGGGTCTAATTTTACATCCAAACCCTGCAGTGATAGAGAAGGAATTCAACGGAAGAGAAAGGGCAGTGTTCACCCACCTTTTACCCTCCTCTAATATTCTCTGTCTTCCCAGACAACTAATTCTGTTCTCTCAGGGATAAATCAACATCTTGCTCAGCTATTTTTTCTCCTCCTCAGCTGCCAGGGTAGACTCCTGTATTTGCAGCTAGTTCCCCTGACGGTCTGAAATTCACTCAATTACCCAATGCTTAGGTCTCGGACTCTGCTGCCTGCTTCTTCAGAGGGAACCCTGCCGTTCCTCCCTCAGGGCCTCTGACCTGACACACATTTCTTCTTAGTGAAGCTCACTTCATTAACCGAGCGCTACCTAACTCTCGCTTTATTGCTTCCGTCTTTGCTTTTTTGGCTTTAAGGTTTTCTAATGCAAAGGGTTTTATCAAAGCAGATAGGCTGCAGCTGATGCTAGTGCTGCAACAAAACGGTCTGCTAATTGCCAGCCATCTGGAATTAAGCTGTTGGTCTCCGAGTCCAAGAGTGGCTCTGCACAAGGCGAAATCAGCTCCTGGGTGTCATTGCCTCGACACTGGCCTGTGTCTGAGATGGAGGGGCTCAGCCCTGGTGTCTGACATTGAAAAAAAAGGTAGAAAGGAGACAGCTCTCATTTGCATGAGCAACCGCCCACCATGCCGGGCCAAATGTTGCCACTGTTTTCAAGAAAAGGATTAATTTGTGCTCAGAAAGAAAAGATTAAAATGAGCAGAATTTACCGCACATATAGGGAAAGAAGAAAATTACAGCTGTTCTGTCTTCAGCAGTGGCTTCCCCCTCCCCATTCCCCAGTGGTACACCATTAACTCACAGCACTTGGACACAAACAGGACACCCTGGGATAACAAACAGACCTGGGCGGCCTGCCTCTGCAATATAGCTCACATCTGAAGTTGACAGATTGTTTTCCCCTCAGATTTGTCTCCCCAAAGGAAAATGGTTAATATTCTGGGGTGTTTTCTTTCCTTCAAGAGTATGTGATTTATATTAGTGGAAAAGGTCTGGAAGGGCACTAGTTTCTTTTTATGGTTGCATGTCCAGGGACCTGATCATGCTGGTGCTGGCAGTGGCTGAGGCAGTACAGCTGTCCCAGCTGCCATCA